CGTGCGTGCGTGCGTGCGTGCCCAGAAACTCCAAATCACCGTTGAATCCACAAGCTCACCATTGACACCCACGCGTGGACTGTGAAAACTCTGACCTTGAAGCCGAGGCCTCAACCAGAGGTGAAACGCTCAGTCGTTGCATCACCACGGGATCGCAGGTTGCCACTGAAGATGCGAATCCCAGCACGTTGCTCCCAGAATTGGAGCCTTGATCAATATTCCTTCTTCTGGAAACCGCTTCTTTGCAGATTGGTACTTTCCTTTCGCGGGACTTTCGCCCGCCCGCACTTTCGCGTGACATGGTGGCGGTGGTGGTGGTGGTGGTGGTGGTGGTGGCGGTGGCGGTGGTGGTGGTGGTCATTCAACACGCAGCGGAAACCTGTCCACCTCGCGAGATGCACGGTCTTATGCCGGAGCCCGAAAAACCAGCTGCACTGTGACCTTGAGAGCCTTGAGGTGTGCTGCAGCATCTAGGCATCGGGCTCTGTGGGCTTGTGAGTCGAGCCGAAGCCCTTCTCCTCCTGGCTGGGGCTGGGCTGATCCAAAAAAATCCGAAAAAAACAACACCTTTGCAGTAAGCAGGTGCATAGCGGACGTGCGCATGTGTCCTCCATGATGAGGTCGACGTCGCAGTTCGCATGGATGAAGTGGGTGTCTATTGACCGCTTCACAGTGCCCTGTCAGTTCACCAGTGCTTCAGATGACAGGCCTCTCGTGACGCAGAAAACATCTGGCCTTCACGCCCACGAGACAGTGCTCCTTGGTTCTCTGGATGATGGAAGTGTCACCATACATGACACTCTGTTGCCTGCCATGACAGCTGAGAAACTTGTATCAGTAGGGCTCTTCTTATATTACTGGGGAGCTACACTGCTGACTGGTTGCTTCTTCCCCACGATCAACTACATCACACATTGAATTGAAGCTATGGTGCAGGATGCCCAAAAAAAACTGGTAGCATCCACAGTAACAATAACAGTTGTTATTGTTTGATGTAATGAGCTTTGTAATCAACGTTCCATTAGCAATACCATATTAACCATGATAACGGTTACTAAAAAGAGGACACTCCATGGTGAAAATCATCGTAATTCTCCCCGCAAGAACGCAATCCTTGGGCTCAACAGAGAGCTCAGCTTGTCGGGGGCATACCAGGACCACGCGGGCGACTCCAGAATGGGTTTAACGCTCCAGAACTTGGTGCTAAGGCTGCTGAGGAGTTCCTCATAAACCATGTATTAGATTGTGTTCAGGTTATACTATATCATATTCTATTATGTTATTGGTATGGTAAGGTATACTAAAGTATAGTATGTCATGGTATATTGTAATATAGCATGGTATAGTATCGTATCACATCATAGATTATATCATGCTAGGCCATGTCACCACCAGGATAACCGAGGCAATCGAGCTCTGAAGCTCTTTTGTTCCTCGCGCCGCAAGGGTATACAGGCTCAAGGTTCCAAATGCTTTGCCTCGTGGCTGAGATACAGCGAGCCGTGATGTCTATGACGTTGCGGACAGAAGCGTGGTCATGTTTCTTAGCATGCCTTTCAGCTCCGCTAGGTCTGGCTGTAAAGCTTCCGTCTGCTCTTTCTCAAAGCCCAGCTCGCAGTCAAGGAAAGTTTTTATTACGGTGCCGGCGAGAGCTAGGCGGATGAATATGGTTTGTAGCACCGCCTTGCTGAGGATGAAGCCTTCAAACACCGGGATGCCCCAACCTTGTCCATTGTTCTGCTTTGCAAGCATTGCTTCAACAGCTTGCACTTCCAAATGCATCCCTCCATCACGATGCCGTTCCTCATTCAGCTTGTTCTCAAGATCTGTCAAAGCAGCAGACAGCTGAAAAGGTCCAGCTACAACCGCCAACAGCACTGCTCCCAAATGGCATGATGTCAGCAACAGCCTGAGCCAGGGTTCCTTGAAGCCACGGTTCACCTCACTCACAGCCAGTAGCTGCACCGTGCCATACCAGGAGAAGCCAGCCATCAGTATTTTAGAGGCGACAAGCACCAGCGGCAACCCACAGGTTGACAGCTTGGGGGTACTGTCACACAAAACTCTTGAACAAGGCGCATGCACTTGCTTGGGAAAGTCCCTGGCATCACACGGCATGACAACGGTGACCTCCAACATCAGCTGACGTGCCGATGCAGAAATGCGTGAGACAAGGAAGGTGAGCGTCATCAGCTGGAAGAACTCTGGCACGTCTCCTAAGGCATACAGAATCTTCATGACATGTCCCACTTGAAGCTGGCCTGTCGGACCATGATACAGCCAAGCCAAGGCGCTACAACACAGGACTGATGTCGAACAAAGAATGAGCGCTGTCCACGTTGTCTTGCGTAGGAATCCGATTACAACATCGCTGCACAACGGTGTGCGCAACAAATCGTTTCGTGCATTCAGAAGTAAACCTGTCATGAGGCCTGACACAAAGGCAACTTCCGCAACAGCCCGCATTTTGGCCAAGATATCTGAGTAGTACCATTCGCGCATTGCGAACCCTGCCCGCGCCAAGGCATTCACCAGCGTGATGCTCAGAATCGAAGGACGACTGAGCACTTCACTGCAAAGGTCCAGTTGCCAATCTTTGTCCATGCGGCGGATGTAGAAGATATAGGGCAAGCCCAGCAATAGCAAACAGCCCAACAAGCCTGATGGCAGTGCCACACACCATAGACCAAACTCTACCCTCTCCTCCAGTTCCGTGGGCGAATCTACAGTTATGTTGAAAGGCTTCGATGCCTGAACGGCCTTGCGCCAAGCTGCCTGGCTGTACTGTTGTGCGCCGACTTGCACGATGCGCTGGCCGGCCTTCAGGCCCAGTCTTTCTGCTCGCGTGTTCGGAAAAACTTTCAACATTTTACCTGTGTTGGGGTCCCTTTCTATGCCTTTGAGGCCAGGCTGCAGGGTTACAACTTCTTCTTTGGCTGAAGTTTGTCGGTTCACTTTACCTGTTGGGGCTTCTGTCACAACTTGCGCAACACGCGCAGGGCGGTGGGCCACCACGAAAGAAACCTGCACCAGTAGAGCCAACTTAAGCGCCAGCAAGGTGTTGAGGTTGCGGAGCAGTGCAACACCCATCCATGTGAAACGCGACACAGGACGCGAGGTCGTGTGCGCGCAAGGCTTGAGCTACATGACTGCAGCAGGTGCTCTGCAAGCCCCAAACGTACGTTCGGTGGAACTACAATTGCAGTGACACAGGTCGAAAAGCAAAACCAAGCGTGTCAGCGCACTTGACGGCGCCCCTGGCATCCAGCTTGGCTTGCCGATTCGTCTTCACCCAGCAGACATCCTTCGAAGACTTGAGGTGGAGGTTCTAACGAGTGGAGTTTTATATTGCACCTCTTTCTTTGTCTTTTTAACTGGTTGTTCTAGCTTTCCTGCCTTTGCCAACTCCCCGCATCCCATTATTTACAGCAAATGGTGCAAATCTGTATCTGCGTCTGAGTGTTTACATAGGATGCTAGCTGCGCAAGTCTCCCCGCTGTGGCGCGGTGCATACTTTTCACCGGTTACGGAGGGTTCTACATGCTGGAGGCGTGCCTGATGTTTCCGATACATATATATATGTATTTATATATATATATATACATATATATATATATGTATTATGTTTAGTATATATGTGCACGGTATAGCAGTTAGTACATTTACGTGTACATGCGTGTATATGTGTACGTATATATATATATATATGTATGTATATGGTCAGGCGTCTGGCGTTCCCAACACCCCCCCCCCACCCCCGCCCCTTCCAATGGTATGGTATGGTCTGGTACGGGTGGGGGGGAGGGCTGACGCGTGCGGAGAGGGGTCGGGGCGGTTTGGTGGGGTGCTGCTGGGGGAGGCCAGGGGTCACAGACAGGGCCAGGATCTTACGCAAACCCTACGCAAGCCATAAACCCTACAACGTAGGGCGTGTTCCTGTTTTTAATAACCTTAACCTGTACTTGATACTTTTAACCTTACACCCAACCCTAAACCCCGCCTAAATGCAGGCTCTAAGCTTGAAGCAGAACACAAACCGTCACGCTATCCAACCTACACCCCAAACCCTCCCTA